AGTCGTGGAAAATAGCCCACTCAACATGCAAATTAAATAAGGTGGTCCTGAACAGTGAATATTATTCTCATGGTGTTCAAACTTTAAATTAATTGTAAATATTTAATATGTTATTGTATAATTGTACATACATCTCTCATTTCTTAAATTCAATCCCTTTTTATACTTGGAAGTTTAAGATAATTGGATCATAGAGCTCATTAAGTTAAAAGAACATTTACAAAGATGTGTGTGTATAACCTCCTGACAGTATCTTCATATTGATAGTTTATAGACTAAATTTTTAAGGAGTGGATGAATTGTTGTTGAGCATATGCACACAGCCAATTCCTACCTACATATGGTATAAAAGATATATTCATCCGTTTAAAAATATGATACGTTTGTTAAAGAGTTGGATATTAAAAAAATGTAAGGTATTTTTAATTTTTTTAAAATGTAATTATCATTTTTTTAAAAAGGATCTTTATTAAATAAATTACTTTATATTTATTTTAGGATAAAATATTCTATTAAGTAGGAGTAAATATAGAAATATAAAGTTAGTTTGAAGACAAATATTTATTTTTTTAAAAGTAAAATTTAATTAAAAATATATTATATTTTTAAATAAAAAGAGTATTGTATATTAGGAATTATTCTTCAGGCCAAGCAATGAGTTGTTACGAAGTCAAAGGCATGTTGAATTTGATGGGAAGTGTGAAGATGTATTATGTATTAAAATTTATTGTGTTAAGATTTAAGAAATATTTTGAATTCATTAACCATTGTTAAGATATTCATTGACTGTTATTATGATTTATATATTTTAGATAAATATTCAGATGGACTAGGATCACTATATTATTTGATCTGTCCGGTTAAAATATTTTAATTATTTAAATAAAATTTTGTGTGATATTTTTTAAATTAATTTTATTTTTATAAAACAATACACACTTGATTTTTTAATTTTTTTTTTACTATCATTAATATCATAATTGATTTATATTTAATGTCATTTAAATGTTATGTTTTTATTAAATAGATCATAAAGAATATAATGTACCTAATTTATTTAAATATTTTTTTTATATTGTAACATTTTCATATGTACAACACTTTTTCCAACCTCCTTTCCCTTTCTCGTCGTTTCCTTTTTTTTTTTTTAATCATATATTTCAGAGTTAGCTTTTATTTTCAAGCCACGATGCTAGGTAAACCTTCTTATCCTAATACCCTGTCATTCAAGCATTGAACACACAAGTTAAATTGTTGCCTATTTAAAAAGTTGACTTAAACATTTAAAAATAGTTGTCCATTCTATTTTAAAAAACAGTTTTTCAATATTATCAAATATTTATTACTCAAAATAAAGATCAATAATGACATATAAAAATTATTGCTTATACTCATATTAAATAAATTATTATTTAATATTTTTAATAAATAATATTAAATATTATATGAGAGCTGTTGCTTAAAATAAAAAGATATTATAGTGATAGGATTTCAGTCTATTATCTCCTCCATTATTTTTTCCCCCTCTTAACTTTCTTTGCTTGGCTTTTTTCACCCTTTCTATATCATTTAATGACCTCACCGTCTTCAACTTATAGGTTAGATAATTTTACATACTCTTTTCGTTTAAAAATATAAAATATTTTTAATTGAATCTTATCTCTCAAAAAATAATTACGTACTTTTCAATAATTTTATTTTTTTATATTTATTTTTATTAAATATCTTAAAATAAATATAAAATTATTATTAATAGAGACACTTTAAAAAAATATAACTTAAAATGCTTTATATTTTTAAATATCTAATCTCTTAAAAAAATATTTTATATTTTTAAATGAAGGAAGTAATTATTACAAATAACAAACTTAACCAATTCTTTTTATATTCGTGAATTGGTCAAGTGTGGCCTATATAGATAGAATTAAGTAAGTAGTATCGTGAATAATAAAGCCAAAATGTGACATAAAAAGTCAAGAGAAGACCCTATAAATGGGTTTGGATTTTCTCTTTTTCTTCCCTCATCCTATCCTTGCCCTTGATTTAAAATTTGAACAATTAATATTTAAAATTATGTAAAACTATTATAATAAAAAAACAAACAAAAAATAGATCTAGACAATTAAAATCTTATATGAGTAATTCACAACTGTAAACTAAACTAAAATAATTAAATTAATTTGATTAAATCTCGATCCTTGGATTTTTAATCCGATGATAAGGATAAGATTTGGAGAAGAAAAGGAAAGAAAGGATGATGAGAGGATCCAACTTGGATAATGGTAAGTGGGTGAAAGAAAATTACACATTGATGTGTTAGGGAGAGAATAAAAAGAGAGTTATGTGCACAAAATCAACAAAACTGGAGATGTTGATAGAGGTGCGAGTATGGCTAACACAACTCAATATATGCTTGCGGAGCAGTGGAGGGAAATTTCATAACTATAATTTTTTTAATAATAAAATTTTAGTCCTTTAAATTTGCCTCACTTGTTAATTTGGCCATTCAAATTTAATTTTTATTAATTTCATCTATTATATTTTCTTAAATCATTATGAGTTCTTTAAATTTAATACACAAAATTAACTTTCAAAATGATCTAATATATAAAGTATATCAATAACTTGACATGTACACATAGTTAAATGAAATAAATTAACTCTCACCTAATTTTTATAAATATAATCCCAAATAAATTGTCTAATTGGCAAAAAAAAAAACTTATGCCTAGAAAACATAAACAAAATTTTTAAAAATTTAAAAATATGACCATTTTATATTAATATACAGAGAGTTTATCATTAATATATAAGATGCTTATTATTAAAAATTTATAAGAGGGTTTATCATTGATATACAATGATATGTCATTGACAAATATAATAAACTATACATAATGTAAAATATAATAAATGTTATGCTGTTTATTTAGTTTATTCCTATAAAATTGATTATATCTGCAAAATCTTTTATAATCCTTAACAATATTTATCATTATAGTTTGTTTTCTTGTTTTTCAAAATTTCACAGTTTTTTTTGACTTAAATAATTATATTTCTTTCCATTAACATACTTGGATGCCATCAATATTATGTTATCCATGTCATCAAATTTCAACAACTTTATATTCTTTTTAAACATAAAAACCAAAATAATAATTGAAGTAAATTCGAAGGATTAAATTGATAAAAACTAAAATTTGAGAGATTAAATTAATATTTGAGACAAATTTGAGGGATTGAACTTTTTTTTTTAGAACAACATTAACAAGTTGCTATTATCATTTTAACAACAAATAATTTTAAATTAATTTTTATCTATGAATAATTCTTTTGAGAGGTCACTGGATATGGCTCTCTCTCTCTCTCTCTCTTTCAAATCATTCCATCATTAACCTTCAATTTTGGAGATTAGAAAAAACTTGCATAGATTTTTTTCCACTTCCAGAAAATCATTGCCCTAAATAAGTGGAGAATTTTCTTTCTTTATTTTTTTTAACCACAAGAGAAAGAGAGTTTTTGACTAAAGTATACTTTTAATCTCTATATTTTATACATGATTTAATTTTAATTTTTTAATTTTATAAAGTATATATTTAATTCTTTAACCTTAATATTATTAATTTCATTGCAAAAAAAATTATATTAAACTTTTAATATTGACAAAATATTTTTAAATATTGACTTATTAAGTTTAACCTTTTTCAAAGAATAATGATAAATATTCATTTAAAACTAACTATATTAGGGTTAAAAAATTAACTACATATTTTTAAAATTAAGGGACCAAAACTTTACATAAAGTTAAATGATTACAAATATATCTTAGATGAGAACTTTTTTTTTATTAAATAAACAATAAAATCATAGTATTATGACAAACTTTAAATGAAATTCATAAATAACTTTTCTTGAAATCTAATAATGCACGCGGAATCAGAAAATTCTAATAACATGTGAAACTTCACAAATATATATTTTTTAAATAAGATCACTACTGCTATTATTACTTTCTAAAGCTGTCATACATTATTTTTTCCGATATCATAAGAACGTTTAAAAGTTATAACTAGAGAGTATGCACAATGATTTTAAAACAGTAACGAAGTGAAGAAGTGATCTTCTTAGAAAGTACACTAGCAAGCACTAAACCGAATGAATCATGAGACCAAAATGTATGATTTTTTAAAAAGAAAAAAAATTGTAAAAGCAATGTAGCCTCTTCGATGTCGCAATGGACAAATCGAAAAAAAGCGTGCTGGGCCATAATAGATTAATGGGCTGTGCAGTAAATTTAACATTTCTCAGACCTAATTCTTAATTCCTTTTGTTTTCGGCCACGTAATTCTTTGATTATAATGTAAAAGCCTAATTGTTCAATTTTAGATTGGGTTCAAACGTACATATTGTCCACGTCCAATATTTTTATACACAAATATTCTTTTCCAATCCGTACTCCTTCTGCTTCTCGGATAAGATTTGCAAAGAAATTCCTTCAAAGCTCATATCAAAATTTTAATATGTTTTTTAACGGGAAAAACTCTTAAGACCCGCAATCTACAAACGAAGTCAATATCAAAATTATAATGTGAAAAATGTTCATTTAATAAATTTTTAATGATTGTCCAATCAATGTAAAATTCCATAAGGTAACCATTAAAAAATAAGTTGCTAAAGTACCCGGCATTAGTTGAGAATTTATTTGTTAGTCCAACCAATGTTGGTTCTAATATATATATAAAAAAATTGTAGCTTCTTAAAATCAATACCTCAGATTTAAATTCTTATAAATATAGAAACATAGAAACTTTTTAACCGAGCGCAACAATACTTAAATATAACTGAGCAATATTGGAGCTATTTAAATATTTGAATCTGACACTGTATTTTTAATCAAATCTAATATATATATATATATAAATTGATGTTATACACACACACAGATTAATTGTATTTCACAGTGCTTCACACGGTTACGTGACAAGTATGTGTGCTGAGGGCGGAGGCTTCTTCCTAAGTACGTTACTCACCAACCAATTCGACCACCCAGAGATCTCTGCCTTCATACATCGCTAGCCAATATTTCTCTTCCAACCATTCCCAATCTTTTTTAAAACCAATTCAGCCTCTTTCCTTCCTCTCCCAAGAACCATAATCACAACCAACACCTAAACCCTAGTTCTTTGTTTTAAAACTTCTCATCATTTTTTTTTAAAGCATAAAAAAAAAATATAAACAAACAAACGAGAAAACAAAAACACTATAAGATATGATGATTATGAAATATAAGATTTGAAGTGGCTGAGACCCTCTCGCATGGAAAACCACCCCAGAAGCCCAGAGGCTCATCCACACCATCAGAAGTGGGGCACGTTGGAGGAGCTCTTGCTTGCCTCCGCCGTCCAGCGTCATGGCTTTAAGGATTGGGACGCCGTCGCCATGGAGGTCCAGAACCGAACTACCCTCCCCAACCTCCTCGTCACCGCTCACCACTGCCGCCAGAAATTCCTCGATCTCAGACGCCGATTCGCCGCCCAACGCGACGGCGCTGTCTCCGACGCACTCGCCGCCGGGGACGACGTCGATCACGTCCCCTGGCTTGACGAATTGAGGAAGCTTCGTGTCGCTGAACTCCAGGCAGCCGTCCAGCGCTCCGACGTCTCCATTCTGTAAATATCTCTCCTCTTGGCTATTCTGAATAGTTTGCTCCGTTTTAGGTTTTAGATCTAATCCGTTTTCAAATTTCTTTTCGCTAATTTTCCCCGGAAAAGGTCGTTGCAGCTGAAGGTGAAGAGGTTGGAGGAAGAGAGAGGGAAGAGCTTGAAGGAGAACGTTGGAGAAGGGGAAGAAAAACCGGATCTGGCCGGCTCCGGCGACTCGAGACCGCAAAACGACAAAAAAGGCGGACCTGAAAAAGCTCCTGTGCCGGCGAGTGCCGAACCGGCAACACGACTCGACGGGGATCATAATATTAAGCAACCGACGAGTGACGAATCCGACCGGGACAACCAGTCCGTTAACGAGTCTAACTCGACGGTTTCCGTCGGGAAAACCGGGGAGGGAGAAGTGAAGCTAGAACCGAACCCGGTCCAGGCCGGTCCGAATGAACCAGATGCGGTCGAGAGGAAAGGCAATCCGCTCGGAGAAGAATCTAATAACGGAAGCTACGACGCGACGGCGAAAGTGCCGACGGGTGATTCACTTCCTCCGAGTGAGGAGAGGAAGGTGGAGGACTCGTCGGAGTTGCGAGACTCGGTGACGCACTCGAGGGATGGTGGTGGCGACGGAGGGACGAGGGAGAGCAGTGAGGTGCAGAGCTCGGCGAGTTTGACGAGGAAAAGAAAGCCGAGGCGGAGGAAGGAGGAGGAGGAGCCGCCGGCGAACGACGAGGTGTCCGCGAAAGTTCAGCCGTTGATCGGGGTGTTGGATTTGATCAAAGGTCACGATCACAGCTCATTGTTCGAGCGCCGTCTTGAGAGCCAGGTACCTGATCCAAATCATATTTGCATGGATAAAATCGGTATTTGTTAAATGTTTGGAAAACTTAAAACAAAAACATTTATAATTCAACCCAGTGCTATTTAATTGGGCAATGACCCATGTCGAAAAATATTTGCACACACAAATCTCTCATGAATTGCGTCTAACATTTTTATCAAAATGATATAATGAGCGACTTATCTTTACCGAAGAAGCATGAGTTGCACAACTTATATTAGTTTTCATATATGGAGACAATGATTTCTATAATTTATAACATTTTAACTAAGTTGTTCTGGAACATTTTGACTATATTTTAATATGATAATGACAATTACTCCCTCATTTAAAAGACAATTGTGAAGGAATATTATTGTGTTAAAATATCAACAAAAATTAAGTTTTGTTAATAATAATTTTTTAATATTATTTTTTAAATGGAGGGAGAATTGAAATAATGATAAATTAAAAATTTTATTAGATGAAGAAATTTTTAAAATTTTATATTTTTATTTTAAAAATATTATAAAATATTATTATTGAGCTTTATTGAAATACATAGTTTTATTTTAAATTGTCTTATAATTTAAAATGAAAGACTACTTTTCAATTAACATGTATGTAATGAGATAAATAATCAATAAAAATATTCACAAGTATGAATAGGGCAATTCATTTATGAAAATTTATACAATGAGAAAAATGTATATATATAATCACTAACTTAATTAATGAAATATTTGAAATTTTGGATATAAATTTAAAATAAAGAAACGAAATAATGAAACTTTTTGATGTTTCAAGTTTACTTCAATTAACTACGTCATCCTTAGAAGTTTAATTTTGATCAATCAAGTTTTTATATTTGTATAACAATATACAATAATTCTTATGATTTCAGTGAGAAATAACATCATAAAAATTAATTGTTTATAATTATGAAATTTTAGATATTTAGACCATAGAAGATTAAATTTTGAGGAACTAAAATGATAATTGAAATAAATTTCTAAAAATGTCAATATCTCCTCAAATAAATATAAAATCAACTTATTTTATTTGTTAAAAATAACTTACCGTCAACACTTTTGATTTTCAAACGTTAAAGGGTCCGTTTGGATTTCAGTTGGGTATAATAGATTATGAAAATAATTGATTAAGTGGTAGATTTTAATCATAATTGATTATGTTATAACGTAATCTGTTTGGATACTGTTTTTTTAAAATTAATTTTAACAAAATTGAAGATGTTTGGATAATTTAATCAGAATTAATTTTTAACTATATAAATTACTATATAATTTAATTTTTAAATATCAAATATTAATTTTTTGAATATACAAAGTTTAAATTTTATTAAGGAAAAAAAAAGGGAAAAGAAGAGAGTTTAATTTTATTTTTATTAAATTATGTGCTTCCTTTGTAATTTTTTCTTGGGCCATTCTTTGTAATTTTTCCCAACGCTTTTTGATAAACGTTCTGCAAAAGCTGATGGAGAGAACTTACGGAAAACGCGCGTCCTGACCCATAATCAATTTTTGATGATTTTTGACTGTTTGGCTAACTTTTCATATTAATCGATTTTTTGCCTCAAAAATCGATTAATGAGGCAATCCAAACGGACTGAAAAACAACCACGGTACACTTAATGGCCCAAGAAGTTTTTGATCAATTACTATAATACATTTTTTCTTTTGGTACAGAATTACTAGAATAAAGTTTTATGACCAGCGAATTACTAGAATAAAGTTTAATTCAATAGTTCTTTCTTGTGTATAAAAATTATATTTTATTTTTAATTTATTTTCATTAATTCTTTACTAATATTTTTATTTAAAAAAAATTTGTGTACTTAACTTTATGTTTGTTTCTAATTACATAAAGATATATGAATATTTTATATATTTTTTATTTTATAACACAATTTTGTTATTTATATTACCCCTTTAAAATTCTTTTATGTTGATTTAATTAGACAAAAATATATTGGTGGCAACGAAAAAAAAATTAGACAAATTATATTAAATTTACATTTATAATGCTAAGTATTTAAGTGTTTCCTTTCCTTTCATCTTCACATCGTTTTAAAACTATTTTATATGTTTCAAGGTCGTGGACACGTAAACCTTGGTGAGTGTTTATGGTTATGGTATATTTCTTGGCTTTGGATGCCAGTTATGATTGAGATTTTTAGAGGATTTAGTGTATGGAATATGAAATAAAAAGTGCGAAAAATAGTTTTAACCTTTTTTTTTTTGTGGTTTTGTTTTTGTTTTGGTGTTTCCTCCTTTCTAGGGACACCACTAGGATTCTTTTTTTTTTTAAAATTTTTGGTAGAAAAAGAAGAGGTAGAAGAGACCCCTTGAAAATCGTAGGCCCACTTTTAGCTAGGGTGGGCTTGACTTTTGCCGATTAGACCTATTAATTGGATTTGGTATGGGCTTAAAATTTTACAAATAATCTACCGTCGGCTTCTTCTTCTTCTAATAATAATAATATATTACAGTACTTGTAAAGGGCTAAAAATTGGTTTGAGGTACCACGATTTAGGAAAATAAAGGACAAATATTCTATACTTGAACGTTAAGGAATTAGATAACTAAATTTAAAAATAATAAATGAATGAAGAATAAATGAAAGAATGGCAATAAATTTTTTTTAAATTATATAAATGACAACCTGATTCTTTAAAATATTCTAATTTCATTAAAATAAACTTCTATATTAATAAATTTTAAATTAAAAAAATATCATTTTATCTTTATTGACAAGTTATAATTTTTTTGTTAAATCTTGCTATTTTTTTTAAATAAAAGCTGTTATTTTTTAAACAAGAGTTCTTATTAGGATTTTTTATTTTGAGAATTTACTTTTTCATTATAAAAATCACACTTGATGAGTTGTATTTTTTGTTTGATTCTAACAATTTACAGAATAAAAGTTATTTTTTAAATAAAAGTTGTGAATAACTTGTTATTTTGAGAAGTTTTTTAAACAGAAATGACATCTAACAAGTTATAATTTTTTATTCAAATCTTGTAATTTACAGAACAAAGTTAATTATTTTTTAAGTAAAAGTTATGATTGAAATTTATTATTCTTAATAAAGGTAAAATAGTGTTTTCACTTTAAAACTTATTGATACAGAATTCATATTTTAAAGGATTATATTGTCATTTATAGAATTTGAGATGATTTTATTGCCATTTTCTCAAAATAAATAGCTAAGAAATTAGAATGACTGCTAAGCCTAATATTATTTTTGTTGGGTGATTTGCTAATCCTAATATTTACTGAGTTCCAGGATGACACGCACAATATTACTAAGTTCGAGTATCATTCGACCAAACAAAAAGTTGGAGCATCGTTTTTCTCATCATGGTGTCTTTTTTCTAACGCAGGAATTGGAAAGATACAAGAACATAGTACGACAGCAAATGGATTACGAGACCATAAAGCGGCGACTCCGAAACGGGACTTATTCTCGCTGCACTCAGGCTTTCTTCCGTGATCTCCTCCTCCTCTTCACCAACGCCGCCGCCTTCTTCCCCAAAGACTCCGCCGAGTCACGCACTGCACAGCAGTTGGGCCACCTTGTCTCCGCCGAGGTCATCCACCACATCCCGCCGCCCCGATCTGAACCCCATCCCAGAAACCCAGATTCTCTCCCACCAAACCCATCATCATCAACAAAACCAAACCCTGATTCACTCTTGTCAAAACACACAGCTTCTGCTCCTATATTGGTCTGCCGGAAACGCAGTGCATTTTCAACGAAACCTTCTACTTCCTCCGCCGCCTTTGGCCGAAAAGGTGACTTAACGGCCCATGAGAAGAAGAAGCCAGCTTTGGATACAAAACCACCCCCATTGAAGCCATCTTCTTCTGATACAGATGATGAACCTCCCAAGAAAAAGGAAAAGCCTGTCACCGGAGTAAGGAGCCTGAGAAGAAGCAACAAAAGCATCACTGGCAACTCCAACAAGAAGGCAGCCATGACCAGCAAGCCACCGGAGACGCCAAAACCAGATAAGAGCAAAGCAGATGGTTCCTCAGGAACAGATAAAAAGAGGAGCGCGGCGGCGGATTTCTTGAAAAGGATAAAGCGAAGTGCTCCGGCAGAGCCATTGAGAAGTGGTGGTAATAGCAGCAAAGGTGGGGTAAGTGGTGGAAAAGATCAGAAGAAGATGATCGGTGGTGGTAAAGGAGACAGAGGGAAAGACAAAGCATCCAAGCACGGCGGCGGCAGTAGCAGCTCCGGCGACAAAAAGAATGAGAATGAGAATAGTAGTCAATCAAAGAGGAGTGTAGGAAGGCCTCCAAAGAAGGTGGCAGAAACTAGTAATGTTTCTGGAAAGCGTGGCAGGGAAAGTGGTGGAAGGGATAAGAGGCCCAAGAAGCGATCTAAGAAGTAATTGCGTGTATATTATTTTGACCACTCACAGGTAGTATTTCTTTCTTTCTCCTATACACCGTTATTTAATTTATTTAGCTGTGTTAGTATTTACCTAGTCCTAGAGCAGTTTTTCATTTTCTTCACTGTTACTTCCTTGTCTAAACCCGTAATGTAAACATTGTTAAACCTGTAATATCTTCACAGTGAAGGCATAGCTAGTGCTTATTGCCGTTCATAGCTTGCACATCTTTTTGGTTTTTGGCCAACACATCGCTTGCATATCATTCTTTAGTCTCTGACTTTATATGGCAACCATAAATTTTATCTTGATATTTTTCGAATCACATTTAATCATGAGCCTATCAAATAGTAACGCCGACCCTAATAGGGCTCATGCACACACTCATCATCTATCACGAGAGCCTGTATACAAGGAAAAAAAGAACTCATGGCAGAAGGTTGAGGGTAGTCCCATACATTTAACAATTTATATGGAGTGTGATTTATTATCTTTAACATACTTATATTCAATATTTTAGTGCGCGCGCGCGTGCGTGTTATGATGTCATTTATTTTTGAGACTCCATAACATGGACTCAACAAAACCATCTAATTGACAAGGGTCAAAAAAGGAACCATTCATCACAAGCTTAAATTATAAAACTGAAATGAAACATCGTATTGAAAGCAGATCGCCAACGTATAAGCGGAATATTAGGGAAAAGAAAGTCAAAAAAAAAAAAAAATTCCATTTCTATAGCCTATAGGATGAAATTAATAATGGCAGGCAGGAGAAGGCAGAGAGCGAACAACCATAATTGTAAACAAAAGAAGGAGATCAAATTTATACACAATCATATCACATCTGATGATCACTGATGAGAAGGTATGATACAAAGCAACAGCTGATGGGGTCCTACGTCAATTTTTAACCTTAACGAAATAATTATTGCCAAGCTACAACAATGGTCATTGTCATCCTAATCGAATAAGACCCAAAGCCAAGAGCTATCTATGAATCATGTGTTAGGGAAATATATTGTACGGCATAGTACAAGAAGAGAAGTCCAGCCTCTCGCATGAGCATGCAGGCCACCACGACAATATAATACATCGTCATTCTCGATCCATTGATTGAGCATGTGAGAAATGGCGGCCAACCCCATCTATATATAAACATTTATCGCATTAAGAATGCTGGCATAAAGTGACTTTAAAATCAACAGTTCTGCTGTCTAGAAACAATTTCAAGTATATTCCTTTAGTGCTTGATTCTCAAGGAATTGCGACGAGTACAGCCAAAAAAAAAAAAAAAACTCAAACAGTTAGTAGTGACTACATCCAGCTGTAAAAAAATATTCACATGCTATGTTTTCATTAAAGAAATAGTGGTAACAAAACCTAAAGTCTAAAATACTTCACCGTAAGCCCTGATACCTTTTCAAGTCTTGATCACAACATCACTTCGTTGGAATAAAAAAGTTACGACCATAGTGACTTGAATTAACCACGAATATTTCATTTTATAAATCCAACTTTTATTAATACTTCGGACTATAGAAAGAATAGGCACATTTGACACCCTAGTAAGGTCCACGCTTCTCTTACTTAGAGGACTACATGTGGAATGACAGAGATCAGAGAGTGTGCCATAACATATGATGAAATGAAAAGTACCGCTTTCACCATCGGAAAGATCCGCGATTCTTGCAATTGCATCAATAAGAGCTTGCTCATGCTCCTGCAGTGGATAAGTTATTGATCAGCTATGAGCATAAACCCGTTGCAAGAAAATCAAAATCAGCCAATAGGATTGTGTGTGGGTGTATGAGGGAGGTTATTAGGTCTCATACCTTCAATACTTTCTTGGCTTTCTCAATTTCTACAGGATCAGGATGATTTGCACTGAAAACCCTCTCAACCTGCCCTAGTCCACCAGAAAATTATTATATATTCGAAAGCAATCAACAAATTTCAATCAATCAAAGAATGCTCCAATTAAGTGTTTGAAGCTACCTCCTTTATTAGTGTATCTGTATGAAGTAATTGAATATCATCCGGACCCTTCTTTCCTATACCATTCTGTGAAGGTAAAATGTCTTTCCTGGATTGCCCCTTTGTGCCTCCTCTACCTCTTCCAGCTCCTGGAACACTATCACGACCAACAGACCTATTCATCCCATGACTAGAACCACCATAGGACACACGGTGATTGATTCCTGGATCCTCCCCGACCCACTGAATATCTTGAGGAGATATCTGCAGTCACAATACTGTATCTACATTAGTAAAATCAATGAAGTACTAACGTACATCAAATATCCAAACTGCAGAAAAGTCATTCTAGAAACATTTTTTTAGATATTATCCAAGATACATGACTTGATCTTCAATTTTCCAAATTCCTAACCTACCTTGCAAACAAACAATTGTTTTTTATGTGGTTCAAAAAGCCACCAAAAAAATTCAGAAAGTGTTGTAGATAAAAAAAATTCAAAAGATGGATCATCAAATATCTGATACGAAAGAGTACAGTTTATTAATTGATTCCTGGATGGAACTAGTAAATTCTAGTGTTCAATTTTAAGCACTTAAAGAAATACAACAATGGAAGGGGGAAAACACGACCAACCAATTCAATTCAATGATAAAAGTAAGATATGTCTACAAAAGAATTCCCTGATGGAAGTGATAGACTACGCAGTTTTATTGGTCTTGACAATAGTCCCCAAGTTCCCCACTAAGGAGACCATTTTTAACTAAATAAAATAATTTTAAGAATTCTTCATAGCTTTTTTAACATACTTCCAAGTTGGAAGTTCCTTATACATGCATGGATTTATCAGAATTTTTAACGATAATTTCATAATTGACTAGGTCGAATTTTTGTAATTGACTTCTATAGTTCACCGAATACAAATTTTACATTCTATCTATCTAATGATTTGTTCAATGTAATGACCCTGAAATTAGTGGGACAAAATAGTCCTGCTTTTCAAACGGGAAAACACTTTTCACGTTAGCAGGAATAGTTCTTTCATTTTGTGTGTGGTGAATTTGAGGAGGGGGGAGCGTCAAGTTTCTCAAACCAACCCCAGACATGTTTTAAGAATCAGGAAAAAGCATCAGGTATACCTCTGCTAGATTAACCCATTCCCATGTTTCATTTGCAGTGCCCATGTCATAGACCAGAGCATGTCGACCCTGAAGAGTTAGGAGCAAACGAAAGATGTCATCTTAACATGGATGGAAATCCTAATTCCTATGAAATGGGAGCTGTAAGTACCTCAGTTTGATTGTAATCAGTGATAACAGCTTCATAAAAGTTATTATCATCAGGCCACCTAGTCCTAACTCTCCTACCAATCAATTGATCATATGAAGTGCCCTCAGCAGGCTCACCCATGACAGCACCAGAAGAAACTCTATTGATCATTTGATTCCTTCCTCCTGGTCCTGAGGAAGTGTACTGCTTCATTGAAGAAACACCAGGTAACAGTTGACCCTGAATAATATATGAACCCCCAAAAAAAAAAACCATAATGATGACGACGTGAATATTCTTTTTGTGCATTACTCCATTTATTAATCATTTTTTATGAGCAACCCACACTTCAATAAGAAGCAGCCAGGTGGTGAACCTAAACACAATAAAAGTATACAAATATGTCTTTAAAGTAAATGCCATGTGCTAAACTGTAATGTTTACTCACAGATTTGTTCTTCTTTCCCTTGGGTCCAGGGACAGGTCCTCGTTTTGCAGCAGATGAAGATGGTTGGTGGGGTGCAGCCGTTGTTTGGGGGTGGAATGTTGGAGATGGCCCACCATAAGATTGTGATGGTACAGACTGTGTTATCTTCTGTTTCTTACGGGATGCAGATATTGTCGGACTGGAAATTGAATCATGTATAGCTTGGCCAGTACTCTTCAAGCCAGGTTGATGGCCACTTGCCTGTCTCCACTCCCTAAGGTAAAGTCCGATATTGTTAATATAAAAGTTGAAAATTCAATGAAGACCTCACTTACTAAGCTTGTAACAACAAGTCAATTTTATTGGACCTTATCCTTCGTATGACATCATCTGCATTAACCCGGCCTAGAAGTTCCCTATGTTCCTCATTTGATAACCTCAGCTCTTTTCGAAGTTCTGTAATCAAACTCTCCTTCTCCTGAAGAAAATAGATGTCATGTAGTGGTCATTTAAACCTGATCGAACAAATTTACCAAACATTAGATCAGATTTCAGGAACCAAAATGACAGAATGTACCCAAGTAATGGCATCAGCTTGAGCTTTGAACGCTCGTAGAACTGAACTGTAGGCTTCCTGCTCAAGTTGGTGAATTTGAGCTTCCATATCAGTTTCACCATACATCCTTGGATATGGAACTGACCCTACAGCAGATCTTCCATTCCCAGCAAGACGTCCCCCTCTGGGAATTCTATTTTGGTGGGTTGGTGGCAGATCATCATCAGTTCCTGCAATCATGACAATCATTTGATCGGATACAACCACTCAACAAGTGGAATTGGACGATTAAGTCACAACATATATATAATCTATCATCCTTTTCTTGGACCGAGTGAAAAAGTCATCTCAAACACAAGAAATACATTGTAATCAATAGCTCTACACATCAAGAGTTATAAACTATGCAATATGGGGACAAAAAAACTCTCCAAGACCTTCCACTAAATCCAACGCTGAAGGTGAATTTATAATTCATATCACCATATATTCACCATGTATACCATGCAAGCTACTATCAACCAGAAAACATTTAAAAGAGAGTCTATCTTTCTAAAATTTGACTGTAACTCAAGATTACTATCAACAATTTAGAGAAAAACTCATAATAACAAAAAATGGAGCAAAGAACAGCCGTGGTTTAGGATCTTCAGTCTGAAAATATTTCATCAGACAGAAGAGTCTATAAAATAACAATATAGAAGAAGTGTATCCTATTATTTAAGCTGCAATACTCAATCTCAAATCAATCCTTCTCCACATCTCTTACCCTTTTCCTTGTTTCTTTTATTCATTCTTCCTCCTCCTTAATGCTTTCTTGTTCAGGGATCCCTGTTCCTAGCTAAAAGGAGAATAATAAATCCCGTTACATAGTCGGACTCCTTTGAGGGGTTTCCATTATCATTTCAAGGCTTAAAAAGCATGAAACTACTTTCTGATCAACATAATGCTAGTATAAAAAATACACAAGCAAGATTTTTTAAAGAAAATGTCTACGTTCTATGACTTTTCAGCTACCCAATGTCATAGAAAGATATATGGTAGCTTAAAATCTATTTATAAAATGAAAAACTAGCATAATTCTGTGAATCAGAATAGAAGCCAGATAGTTGAGACAAATATAGTTATATTCTTATATCCGTTCTTTTAAGAGAGGAGTTCTATTCCTTGAGAACCCAAAGATTGAATTATCCTGTCGACCAGATACTATACTTCCTGGGTTCCTCGATATAACTTCAAGAAAGGGACCAATCAATGCCCGGAGAACATGCAGGTTCAATGATCTATCAATCAAATAAAGTCTAAGCCGCTAATCGTTGTTATCCTCGTTAAAGATCACAGAAAATAACACAAGCCAGATTCAGCAACCGCACCAGCAACCATGAAATGGTGTCATTTAAAGTTCTTTCCCATTCACAAACGCTAAAAATTATCAAATTTTAAAGCACAAAAGGATAAAGTAAGAGAACAGTATTAAAGAACCCTAACCCTAAACTCAAACCGGAAAAGAATTGCGAATCTTGATGAAGTACGGGAAGAATTAAGCAACTTCTAGTAAGCTCACCACTACTATCGTAGGGCTCGTAGTCCATAGCCAGCTTGCCCTGGAATCGATAGCCTAGATCCAGCAAAATGCGAAAGCACCAAAGTTGAGAGCGAATGTCGAACAATAACTCGGAACAGCGCCAGAATCAGCAAGAACGATGCAGCACCAAGCAAACAGTGTTGTCAAATTATTCGAACGTGGATGAAGTGAGCCCTGACGAGAACCCAAACGGTGGCGCAGGGTTGTTGTCGGAGAGATTACGGCGGGTTATAATGATGGAGCGGAGCTCAGGTCGGACCCGACACTGGGTTATGGGTGCGAGGACGAGCGTGCTACACTGTTCATTTTTTTTCCTTTCTTTTTTCTTTTCTTTTGTTTTTTTACGATTTAATAATTAATATTAATATTAATGATTAATTAAAAAAAGAAAATCTGGGCGGACTTAAAAACATTTATGAAAAAATTATGATTAATAATTGAGTTTGAGTTCCGCGCCCCTTGAGAGCATCGAATTTTTGCTCCTTGTAAAATCTAGCAAATGAAACTTGGAGAACGCCTTGCATTGATTTTCATATCATTTGAGTTTTTTTATTTGAATGATTAATAAAGCTTTTATGCCTATACTTTTTAACATTCATTGCTTTCATAAGCAAATTTAAATAAAAAATACCACTATCTTACAATCTTATTCATACGTGTTCTCCTCTCTGTAGTCTCTCCTTATCATCTATCCAATACAATATCACCGCTTAAGTCATCTTTGGTTCTGTCGTTGACTTGACAACTCACGCCTCTCTATTCACCGAATGCCATGGCTGAGATTACAAACCTAGAATCATCTCTTCCAATTTCAAGTGTTCAAGAACTAGCTATTCAAAGGCCAAAGCAGGTACCACCTAGGTACATCAGAGATGATCATGAAATCGGAGCCTGCCCTTCTGATTCATCTCTTCGTGTTCCTCTCATTGACATGGCCAAGTTGGTGAACACAGAGACAAGAGCTCAAGAACTTCAAACACTTCATCTTGCTTGCACACACTGGGGTCTCTTTCAGGTGCTTCAAATTCTATGCTTCATTGGGTTAATCTTTTCTGAAGTCATCGTTTTTGTTTTACCTTGTTCACCGTTTTGCATGTGGTGAATCATGGAGTTTCTGATGAATCTCTTAGAAGAATGAGGGATCAAGTTGAAGGATTTTTTAAGCTTCTATTTAAAGAAAAGATGAGATGGGCACAGAGACTAGGAAGTCTTGAAGGCTATGGACAAGCATTTGTAACCTCAGAAAACCAAAAGCTGGATTGGAATGACATGATTTTTCTCAAAACTCAACCTACTCAAAACAGAAATTTAGATTTGTGGCCACAAAATCCTCCAGAGTTCAGGTTATTACATACATCCCTCACTTCATTCAAGTAACAACTCTTACGAGTTATGGCACATTGGAAAATGAAAAATTATATTTTTGTGACATTCTTTTCTGATGCTTTGAAGGGTGTCATTTAAAATTGTGTTTTAGGGAAACCTTGCATAGATATTCTGAAGAAATGAGAGAGACAACAAGTTCAGTAGTGAGGTTCATTTGTATGGCTTTGGGGGGTTGAGGCTCCAAAGCCATTATTAGAGAGCTTTGAAGAGGGACAATATGATATAAGGATGAATTACTACCCTCCTTGTCCTGAGCCTGAAAAAGTTCTTGGGCTTATGCCTCATGCTGACAATTCTGCCATCACTCTCTTGCTTGAATGTGGACACTTGCCTAGATTACAATTCCTCAAAGATGGGAAATAGGTCCTTGTTCAACCTATTGGAGGAGCCATTGTTGTCAACATAGGCCAAATCTTCGAGGTTTGTCATTGATTAATCTATAAAACTAATCATTTGCATTACTTTATTTATTGCATTTGTTTTATGTGTTTGGATTTTTCTTTTTAAAGCTCAGTTTAAGATTTTTTACAATTTCAAAAGATCTACTTATTTGGTGGGGAATTGTTGAATAAACTATGTAGGTGATGAGCAATGGCATTTACAAAGCACCAGTTCACAGAGCTCTTGTGAATAAATTGAAGGAGAGGTTATCAATAGTCACATTCTGTTTTCCCAATGCTTCTGTAGATATTGGACCATTTGAAAAGCTTATTAGTGAGGGAAAGCCGCCTGTGTATAAGACCATGACAAATGCAGAGTATTTCCATAGATTTTTCAACAGGAAGTTGGAGGAATCATTCATTGATAGCCTCAAAATATGATTCAGGAAGCTTAGCATTTTTTTTTAAATAGGCAAATGAGAATCAAACAGATGGAATCAAAAAAAGAAAGAAGAATATTTGAAGATTTGGAAATTAAGGGGAGATTTAAATAAATTCAAAATTTGAAAAAAAAATTTGTTATCTCTCCTTTATTTCAATAATGTTTCTAATAAATGTAATCCCTTATTTTGTATACTTTTGATTATGAATTGAATAAGATTGATATTTGAGTATTCTCTCTCTTCCTTGAGTTTCTTCTCTTCTCCTTCTATTTCTTTAGTTTCTCTCTCTCCTCTTCTACCCCCTCTTGTTCTACGTTACAACCCATTTATGACTTTGATTGCCTTTTCTTCTTGGTGTTAGTGCAAGAGATGTTTGAATTAATTTGGTCGTACCTTGATCATGTTTTTTTTAATTAACAAAGGACAATAAAATAATTGCCTCCATCCAAAAGGTCCAAGAGCTGTTCAAGAAATTGAAATGGTTTTATTTGATTATAAAATTAGCTCCACAGTTTTTTTGATAAAATGGCTTTGTGTGTGGAACCTGAGAGATGAGGCCTTTAAAGAAATATGGGGTTTAATCCCATTACATGAGGGGAAAAAGGAAAAATAGTCATTTTAATTTAGCGTACTACAAGTGTGTTGAAGTTTTTTTAAAACAAGGCCATAAAGAACCATGCAAAAGAAAAAAAAAAGATTTAGTCATATCAAAATCATACAATTAAACATCATGTGTTGAATTAATAGAAAGAACTAAAAGGAGAAGGGCACGGTGGCATGGACACATCAGTGACACCTTCAAGCATTTAGGTGACCTTCTTCATGGAAGGTCTCAAGGATAGGTCCTCTTGTATGCATAAAAGAGCCGCCATCATTAGCTTTTCTAACCTTTTCATGTCATTTTTACCCTCTTCATTTTCATCTACAAGCTTTTTTAATCTTCTTTCTTTATAAAAATCACAAACCCAGTCAACCAGTATCACTTCCTCTTCATTCTCTCTTCCTATGTCAAGACTTTTCCAACAAAATAAAATCTTTAACAACATCACTCTATAACTATAAACATTAATTTTTGCAATAATAGGAGTGTTCCTAAACCATTCTAGTGCTACATAACCTCTTGTCCCTCTAATTATTGTATGGGTTTGAGTTTGATCTCTCAAAAGTAGCTTTGACAACCTAAAATCTAATATTCTTATCGTGAATGAATCATCTAAAAGGATATTTTGAGGCTTGATGTCACAGTGGATGATCTAGGTGACATATTCTTCATGTAAGTACATGATCCCTTTTGCAATCCTAGATGCTATTTGGATTCTTTTGTTCCAATCAAGTCTGGAGATCCCAAAAAGGAAGCTAGCCACTATTCCATTTCTTATGAACTCATACACCAAGAGCTTGTCTGGTCCTTCACCACAGAACCCCAGAAGTCTAACTAGGTTCTTGTGATGAGTTTTTGCTATTATGCTCACTTTTATTTTGAACTCCTTTTCTCCCTCTTAGTGCAGCTTATCCAACTTCTTCACAGCAATATAGGTTCTTGAACTTGATGAGAATATGACCCCTTTATATGCAATACCAAAGGCACCTCTTCCTAATTCTTCTTTGAATCTATCTGTGGCTTCTTGTAGATCTTTATAGGTTAAAGTTTGAAGATTTGAATCTAAAAGACTTGATTTGCATCTATTTTTGTGCCTCCTTTGATATAACGTAGGGAAAATGAATATAATTGCTATAACAAAAGTAAGTTGAGAAACACAACTAAAATCAAGGTTGCTTAGTCCTTCTTCCTTATGTTTCTATCCTCTAAAAGGGATTCATCTAAAGGAACATCATATTTGGGCAATTTTATTAGAGCCTTCCCATTCACATCCTAGTCCTGCCTTCCATTTAACAAAGGCAATTTCTTCTTCCAGCATGTGCCTTCCTTTATAACAGCAACCACACAGTAGCAATCATAAAGGCAAGATTGGCTGCAATCATTTTCATTTAATCTTTACAATTGTTCAAAATTTAAAGATGTAGGCCAAAAGGTATTGGATAGCTCTTGCATCTTGTATATATCCTCTGGTCTTAACTTACTTGATTTATAATTTACTTGCTTGTCTAGCTTACAGCCATTGAACTTGTTAGTAGGATCTAAGGGGGGAAACCCAGGAAGACAATCACGTATTGGCCTTCTGTTAGTATCCAATCTGCAAAAGCCATTATAACCACAAGGTCCTCTGCCCAAGTCACCACTCATATTTGAGCAAATGTCATTAGGGATAGACCAAACAATGGTCTAAGAACCCCAATTCCTACCTTTCTTATCCCTGGGATGAATACTGAGTGAAAGTCCTATCAAAATCAAGTATTGCCTTGTAATAGAAATCCCTTAAAGGAACTTGTGATTTATTTGCAATATTGACAGTGTTGCCATTCCTTCTAACCACATTGACAAAACCTAACTCATTAAGAACCAGGCGATACCCAAAATCCATATGATTAGAACTATTGGCTGTTTTGTTGTTGAAATAAGGCCCGTAGATACAATATGTAGCAAGGGTAATTGGTTGAAGAACTATATTGCCATAATCTTGAATGCGAAGTTGAAACCTTCCCTTTAAATAGTTTCTATCCATTTTCCTTGAAGTTAGCTTTCCACTAATTTCCAGTACTCGAGTTTGAAGTAAGGTACCTGTAGCGTCTTTGAAGCTCTCCTAAACATAGCTAGAACCTTTGATGAGGACAAAATTTCCCATGTCAAGCATGCCAACATATGAAATTTTATCATTAACAATAAACATGGGCATGGGAATTTCCTGGCCTTTTGGACCAGTGAGTATAAATTGACCATTTATGGTGAGTTCAATTTTTAATCCTTTTAGTAATGGATTATATCCATTTGCCCACCAAACTATGGTTTTATCTGAGATTTTTTTCATCCCAGATGGCAAGTAAAAAGAGATTTTAATCATTGTTGGTGGTATAAAAGCCAAAGACAAATTCCCCAAAGGGTGATAGCCAGGAAGAAGAAGAAGGATCCTTAGAAGCTAATAGAGATGATCCTGAGGTTATATTTGTAGTTTGAGATGTTACCACCATAAATGATAGCACAAGAAGTAGTGAGAGGCCATACTAAGGAAGGCGATTTATGGTAATATAATATGTGAGACGTTCAAGATGTAGAGGTTTGGCTCTATATTTCTTATAGCCAACTTAGTGGGTTTCATACAAATGTGAGTTATACACACACACACATACACAAACACATTATCTACTAATTAAGTTAGTAATTGAGGTTGTGGATTTTTCATAGATAGCCTAAGGCAGTGGTCAAGGAAGAAGGCTTGCGTGTTAATTGATAGTGAATTCTAAGAAGTCCTCTTGTCTTCATCAAAATGTCAAATTTATGGTTGCGTGTCAAGGTCACTAATTTTGATACTATATTACTGATGATGGTGCTTAAAAGCTCCTGAAATTCTAGGAGGTTGTCTTTTTTTTTTAGTTGAATTTTCATTTTTGCTTTAAAATCTTTGGAGAATGACAATAAAGTCTTAAAAGGATATATTAATGATAGTTAAGTCTTTGATAATTTTTTTTGCAAAATAAATTATAAATATCAATTCAAATAGTTATAAACAGAAATCTAAATTACAAACTAATTGTTATATTTAGAATTTAAATATCATATTTGTAATTGAAACTTTTAAATTTGCAACTACTTGAAATAATGTTATTCTCCCTATAATCTTTTGTATTTTATTTGATGAGGTAGAAGCTTTTGAATAAAGATGAAATTGTCTCAAAAAGCTGAGGTTTGTAAAATGATAATCTTAAGCAAAGTTAACACCAATTTTTGTTAACTATATACTGAACATTTTGCCTTATATATACACCCTTGGAATGTTGACTTGGAAGACATCCAAGTGCAAAATGTATGATGAGTTTGGACTTAGCAATGCTAAATTCTTTAGTGTTTTT